TGTGTGTGTGTGTATGTGTGGGTGTGGGTGTTGGCGTGTGTGTGTGTGTGTAAATGGGTGTGGGTGTGAGTGTGGGTGTGCCTGCGTACGTACGTGCACGCATGTGCTTTCGGGCCCCGCGCTGTTCGACATCCGAGTCCCGGAGCCTACGTGGCGGCGGCCAATGCCGGCTGCGCCCTTCCGGAGGCCACGCGGTGCGTCTGCGTAGCTCGACACTCGCTTTTTCGCGTGCAGGCCTACCCGACGAGCCAGGTCGGCAGCCGCTACTGCCTTCCTTCAGGGTGGGTTGCTCAGTGTTGCAAGGCTTACTCCACGGGCCGTTGTAAAGCTGCACTTTGTTTCACAGTTGTGCTGAAGCTGTGAACTGCATAGCTGCAGAGGTTACAGCTATCGCTTGAGTCCGTCATGCAAAAGCTTCTTTCCTGAAGCTTCGCTGACGTGAAGTCGTAGCAGGTCTACCGAAGCAGTCGCGAGACGAAAGGTTCCCCTGCGTGTTTGGCAAAGGGCCGGTCCAATCATCTGTGACGTTTCTGCACCTGCCAGCTTGTCGCCAGCTTGCAGGTTGAAAAGGGCATGAGGGACACTGCAACGGAGGTCTTCACTGTGCTCGATCGCATTGGCTGGGGGCTCGGCGGAGATGAGGGTGGTGACAGCACAAGGGCCGAGAGTTAAGGAAAGGCGTGGCCGGTCCTGCTGCTGGCAGTGTTGCTTGCTTGCGCGATGGGGTATCCCACCAAGCTTCAAGCATGCTTAAAGAAGCCTCGCGGCGCCAGTGCACTTCAGGTACATCTTCCTTTTCATGTTGAAGACCGTCGCCGGCTGCATCATTTGGTTTTGCGCGCTGGTGCGTCCGGCGGTCTGCCTGCAATCAGATGGTGGGATTCTGCGCAGCACAGGTGGGTCTCGCTGCTTTCCTCCTGCTCGGTGCCTTCCTTTGGGCACAATCAGAGGACTTGTCGTACGTGAGGCTATGGATAAGGGCATTTTAGTGCTACTTTGCAGGATGCCATGGAGATGGCGACGACGTACAAAGCCGCAAGCTGAGAAGGTCACATTGCCCAGACAGACAGTCGGCTGCTCGGGCGGTTCGTCGCTGTGGCTGAGGTGTTGGCCGTGATTTCCTGGGTCGCGAGCGTCCTCGTGGCTCTGCTCATCTGCTGTTGCCGCCAGGAGCCTTCACTCGCGTAAGTTGATGAAAATCATGCGAGAAGATTCTGCGAGAAGCACGCAGGAAGTCAAATTGTCCACCAAGTGCATGGGGCAAGCCGCTGTCGCCCTCGCCTCAGATCGGAAAGCTGTCTGCCAGCTCTTGCAGTGTGGCGGAAGGTGATTTGGCGAATGCCTATTCTTCTCCTCTCTCCGCTCCTCAAGGCATGGCACTCATCAGTGCAGACAGCCTCTTCATCAGTGTGTCAGCTTGGGCATGTCTGGGCATAGATGGCTCGTCATCAACATTCGGGGTTTCGAGATTGCTCGCGTGATGAGGCCATCATCAAGACGGTGCTCTTCCTCCTGCCCCTCTGGCTTTTTTCCGCATTCTCGTTTTGGATCGAGAATGTAGAAGCTTCAGGCTGGCAGTTGGTTTCATCCACCTCCTGGCCACAGGCAACTCTCCATGAAGTCGCTTCCAAGCTTCGGGATCGTCTGCATCCACCTTCTTCTGAGGGTAGAGCCGATTGCAGGTGAAGTTTCTGGTGTCGGCCGCGAACATCACGTGGATTTTTCGGGTGCTCCTGCCAGTGCTACCAGTGAAGTTGGTGCACAGCAGACCACATCTCACCGTGCCAATCACTTGTTTCGAACCATTTTGCGATGGTCTATGCGCAAGGTCCGCAAAAAGCTCTGTTAGTCCTGTATGCCTTCATCTCCTTGTGGGTGCTGGCATACGTCAGTTGGCAGCCTACTGAAAGCCGGCCTTGATCCCTTGAGCCCGCACAACGGAGCGCTAGAGCTTGCGAGGCGCTCTGTATCAGTTCTCCATCGCCTTTGCAACAGCGAAGTACTTCTGCGCCAACATTGAGAACGGTCGCAAGGTTGGGTCATGTCCAGACACGCATGGCATGGAGTCGCAGATTCTGAGACTCTGAGACTCTCCTTTCTGTAGACTGTTGCCGCCTGCAGCGTCTGCGAGGGAGTCCGTCGGGGACCCAGAGATTTCGGACAGAGGAAAGCAGGAGCAGGTCATGACTCGTCGTGAGGTGTGGGGCTTTGGTATCATTCTGGATCGCTGGCTTTCGGCTCCGCTCTGATTGCGCTCTTGGAGTGGGGCTCCCAGTTAAGAGGCTTCCTTTTTTGGGGGCCGTCAGAAGCAGTTGCTGCGTCAGGTTGCTACAAAGACTGCTCGAATTTGTGGAGAAGAAGAGCATGGAGGTTCTTCGCGAGTTGCCTTTGTCCTTCATCAAGGAAGTGTGAGCCCCATGCTGTTGCGAGGGCGGCGAAATGAACAAAGTGATCACCTGTTGCATTTCAACTGTTCTTTGTTGTTGCCGGCCGCCATCTCAGCCGTCCAAGCGTGCAAACTTTGCAAAGGTTGGCTCATCCATGTCGCGGCATCTAGTCGCGCAGGTGTCTCGAGGGAATCATCCAGTTTGTGAACAAGAATGCATGGAGCCTCAGAACTGATCGCCGCCGCAAGTACTGTAAGCGGAATAACAGACGACAGCACCACCACCAACAACAACAGCAGCAACAGCAACAGCAACAGCAACAGCAACAGCAACAGCAACAGCGACAGCGACAGCGACAGCAACAGCAGCAGCAACAGCAACAGCAACAGCAACAGCAACAGCAAGAGCAAGAGCAACAGCAACAGCAACAGCAACAGCAACAGCAACAGCAACAGCAACAGCAACAGCAACAGCAACGGCAACAACAGCAACATCAACGGCAACGGCAACAGCAACAGC